ATTTAAATTTGCCCGATACCCTATTTCCACTTCCCCAATTTTAGAATTTTTTTTTGCAAATATGGTGTATTTTGATTTTTGGGACTGCACAAAAACTGAGCTTAAAGTCCCTTAAAATCTTTTGAAAAACAGTCAATTTTTACAATTTTTTGAAATTTATTGGATGTATTAGATTGTTTTTATGTTTACATGACATAAGTGTTATCCTTCTTTTCACAGGGATACTTGTGCTCGACTTTACTGCCTGGGCAAAGTGCTTAGGAATTCCCTTTTATCATTCTTGTGAAAAAAACAAAGCAGATGCTGCAAAAGTAACCCCTACAAACTTCCCCGGGAAATTACAAGTCTCACTTTATTTTTAAGTTTAGTTAAAGTTATGTGGGGCCTATAAAAAATTATTTTAAACAAAATAAGTAAAATTTAAAAAAAATGAGGGTAGAAGAGAGCAAAAAAGGAAACATCTACACCAAGTCTACCCCAATTATCACTTTTGGAAGAATGGGGTTGCGGGAGAGGGTTGGTGAGGGTGTTCATTGGGCTTTAAACCCCCGGAAAATACAAGACCTAAACAGCATTTAATTTATACACAACACATACTTTTTTAAAAGGGGAGTACAACTTTTGTTAAAAATCATGCAAACGAAAATATCAGATCATTATTTAGTGATAGCTAAAGTGGGGACCTAGGGAGTAGGTTTGTAAGGGCAGCAAAACCCCCCGGGAGGGGCTACCGTCCGCCAAGTGAGTGTAAAAGGAATCCTGTAATTGTTTTTTTTGATGGTAGGGTTGCTGGTTTTCTTTTTTCTGTCTCTTAAACATGCAAGATTTCAGGTACGTCTTGCTACTTCTACTTACACTTGAGTCACACTACACATACATTTTTTTTTTTTTTTTTTTTTCAACAAGTCGGCCGTCTCCCACCGAGGCAGGGTGACCCAAAAAAGAAAGAAATCCCCAAAAAGAAAATACTTTCATCATCATTCAACACTTTCACCACACTTGCACATTATCACTGTTTTTGCAGAGGTGCTCAGAATACAACAGTCTAGAAGCATACACATATAAAGATACACAACATATCCTCCAAACTGCCAATATCCCAAACCCCTCCTTTAAAGTGCAGGCATTGTACTTCCCATTTCCAGGACTCAAGTCCGACTATATGAAAATAACCGGTTTCCCTGAATCCCTTCACTAAAAAATTACCCTGCTCACACTCCAACAGATCGTCAGGTCCCAAGTACCATTCGTCTCCATTCATCCTATCTAACACGCTCACGCACGCTTGCTGGAAGTCCAAGCCCCTTACCCACAAAACCTCCTTTACCCCTCTCTCCAACCCTTTCGAGGACGACCCCTACCCCGCCTTCCTTCCCTATAGATTTATATGCTTTCCATGTCATTCTACTTTGATCCATTCTCTCTAAATGACCAAACCACCTCAACAAACCCCTCTTCTGCCCTCTGACTAATACTTTTATTAACTCCACACCTTCTCCTAATTTCCACACTCCGAATTTTCTGCATAATATTTACACCACACATTGCCCTTAAACAGGACATCTCCACTGCCTCCAACCGTCTCCTCGCTGCTGCATTTACCACCCAAGCTTCACACCCCTATAAGAGTATTGGTACTACTATACTTTCATACATTCCCTTCTTTGCTCCATAGATAACGTTTTTTGACTCCACATATACCTCAACGCACCACTCACCTTTTTTCCCTCATCAATTCTATGATTAACCTCATCCTTCATAAATCCATCCGCCGACACGTCAACTCCAAGTATCTGAAAACATTCACTTCTTCCATACTCCTCCTCCCCAATTGATATCCAATTTTTTTTTATCTAAATCTTTTGACCCCCTCATCACCTTACTTTTTCTTGTTCACTTTCAACTTTTCTACCTTTACACAATCCCAAACTCATCCACAAACCCTTTGAAAATTTTTTCTTTAGAATCTCCCATAGCACGATCATCAGAAAAAAGTAACTGTGCAATTCCCATTTAAATTTGTTTCCCCCAAATTTTAAACCCCCCCCTCCCCCAAAAACACCCTGCTTTATTTCTTTACAAACCCCACAAAAATATATTAAACAACCATGGGACATTAAACATCCTGTCTAAGCCCTACTTTTCCGGGAAGTAGTCTCCCTCCTTCTACACACCTAACGAGCCTACTATCCTCATAAAAACTCTGTAACGCATTTAATAACTTACCACCTATTCCATATATTTTGCAACATCTGCCACATTGCTCCTCTATCCACTCTATCATATGCCTTTTCTAAATCCATAAATGCAATAAAAACTTCCCTATCTTTATCTAAATACTGTTCACATATATGCTTCAATGTAAACACCTGATCTCACTCCCCTACCCACTCTAAAACCCCCTTTGCTCATCCGCAATCCTACATTCTGTCTTACCTCTAATTCTTTCAATTATAACCCTACCGTACATTTTTCCCTGGTATACTCAGTAAGCTTTTTCCCTCTATAATTTTTACAGTCTCTTTTGCCCCCTTTCCCTTTATATAAAGGGACTAAAATGCTCTCTGCCAATCCCTAGGTACCTTCCCCTCTTTCATACATTTATTAAAAAAAAAGTACCAACCACTCCAACACTTATCCCCCCTGCTTTTAAATTTCTGTCATGATCCCATCAGTTCCAGCTGCTTTACCCCCTTTCATTTTACGTAATGCCTCACTTTACCTCCCCCACACTTACATTCTGCTCTTCCACTCCTAAAAGATGGTATACCTCCCTGACCAGTGCATGAAATTACTCCCTCTGTTTCTTCCTTAACATTTAAAAGTTCCTCAAAATATTCTCGCCATCTACCCAATACCTCCATCTCCCCATTACTAACTCCCCTACTCGGTTTTTAACTGACAAATCCATATTTTCCCTAGGCTTTCTTAACTTGTTTAACCTCACTCCAAAATTTTTTCTTATTTTCATTAAAAATTTCTTGACAGTGCCTCTCCCACTCTTCATCTGCTCTCCTTTTGCACTCTCTCACCACTCTCTTTACCTTTCTTTTACTCTCCTATACTCTGCTCTTCTTATAACACTTATGCTTTGTAAAAACCTCTCATAAGCTACCTTTTTCTCTTTTATCACACCCTTTACTTCATCATTCCACCAATCACTCCTCTTTCTCCTGCCCCCACCCTCCTATAACCACAAACTTCTGCCCCCCATTCTAATACTGCATTTTTAAAACTATTCCAACCCTTCAACCCCCCCACTACTCCCCTTTGCACTAGCCACCTTTCTGCCAATAGTCGCTTATTATTCACCCGAACTTCCTCCTCCCTTAGTTTATACACTTTCACCTCCCTCTTACTTGTTGTTGCCACCTTCCTTTTTTCCATCTACCTCTTACTCTAACTGTAGCTACAAAATAATAAAGATCCGATATATCAGTTGCCCCTCTATAAACATGTACATCCTGGAGCCTACCCATCAACCTTTTATCCACCAATACATAATCTAATAAACTACTTTCATTACGTGCTACATCATACCTTGTATATTTATTTATCCTCTTTTTCATAAAATATGTATTACTTATTACCAAATTTCTTTCTACACATAGCTCAATTAAAGGCTCCCCATTTACATTTACCTACTACTCCTTCCATAACATTTTTACCCACTTTAGCATTGAAATCCCCAACCACCATTACTCTCACACTTGATTCAAAACTCCCCACGCATTCACTCAACATTTCCCAAAATCTCTCTCTCTCCTCTACACTTCTCTCTTCTCCAGGTGCATACACGCTTATTATAACCCACTTTTCACATCCAATCATTATTTTACTCCACATAATCCTTGAATTAATACATTTATAGTCCCTCTTTCCTGCCATAGCTTATCCTTCAACATTATTGTACTCCTTCTTTAGCTCTAACTCTATTTGAAACCCCTGACCTAATCCCATTATTCCTCTCCACTGAAACTCTCCCACCCCCTTCAGCTTTGTTTCACTTAAAGCCAGGACATCCAGCTTCTTCTCATTCATAACATCCACAATCATCTCTTTCTTATCATCTGCACAACATCCACGCACATTCAGACTTCCCACTTTGACATTTTCTTCTTCTTATTCTTTTTAGTAATCTTTACAGGAAAAGGGGTTACTAGCCCATTGTTCCCGCATTTCAGTTGACTTTTACAACACGCATGGCTTACGGAGGAAAGATCCTTATTCCACTTCCCCATGGATATAAAAGGAAAATTAATAAGACCAAGAACTATTAAGATAAAATCAAAGAAAACTCAGATGAGTGTGTATAAATAAATGTGTACATGTATGTGTAGTGTGACCTAAGTGTAAGTAGAAGTAGCAAGACATGCCTGTAATCTTGCATATTTATGAGACAGACAAAAGACATCAGCAATCCTACCATCATGTAAAACAATCACAGGCTTCGTTTTACACTCACTTGGCAGGACGGTAGTACCTCCCTGGGTGGTTGCTGTCTACCAACCTACTACCTATATATATATGTACAAGCAAATATATACACACCCCTCTGGGTTTTCTTCTATTTTCTTTCTAGTTCTTGTTCTTTTTTATTTCCTCTTATCTCCATGGGAAAGTGGAACAGAATTCTTCCTCCGTAAGCCATGCATGTTGTAAGAGGTGACTAAAATGCCAGGAGCAAGGGCCTAGTAACCCCTTCTCCTGTATAAATTACTAAATTTAAAAAGAGAAGCTTTCGTTTTTCTTTTTGGGCCACCCTGCCTTGGTGGGATACGGCCGGTGTGCTGAAAGAAAGAAAGCTAAAGTGAGAATAAGAGGTAGCTAAACTGTGATGTCAGAAAGCGTCTGGCAGGACAGTGATTGTATGAATGACAGTGAAACTGTTTCCTCTTTTTGGGGGAAAAGGCCCTACCTCAGTGGGAGACAGCTGGTGTTAAAAAAAAAAAAAAAAAAAAAAAAAAAAAAAAAAAAAAAAAAAAAAAAAAAAAACTTACAGCCACAGAATTCTTCATATCTGCTACAGCAGAGGCAAACTCTGCAAAATGAAGTTCTGGTGAATAGGGAAGAGGGTGTACCAGATCCCCTGAAGCCTGTCCAGCTGTTACTGCTGCCTCTTCCCACTCCAGTACGTTTGTTAACACCGCTCCATGATACTTCCCTGAAAATTATAAGTTGAAACAAAAGCAAAATTTTAAATTGAATGCAGGCCATTTACACAGGTGGACTCCAATTTAATAAATCATAATACAACAGAATGTACAGGTTGGCCATCACTAAACCCGCATCAGTGGGACCTGTAGGGTGACGGATTAGCGACTTTGCCGAATTACCCAATTAATGCCCAATTTTTGGTCCATTCCATTGCTCCAGTCTACCAAATTCATAGCTATTTTGTCAGTATTCCTTCTGCAGTGCTGTTTAAATTTAGCAAGGTTTATACAAGCATTGCACTGAACCTACACTTCAGTGCAATTCTTGCAAGAACAGATCTTGCAAGGGTTCTTGCAAGATCTGTTCTTGTTTCTGGTTTGTTATAGCTGATTTATTATGCATTAAAACCCATCAACTACACGATGGTCTTTAGGAACCTCAATAGAAATAAGTCACTTTGTCTAACTTTTTTGGGTTATCCTAAGTTCTCTACACACATGCTGCTATGTATGATAATCTATGTAACTGTATTTGTGTATACCTGAATAAACTTGCTTATTTACTTACTTCTAATCTGCCAACTGAGTACATACAAGAAACCGCCCATTCACCTATTTCAATTACCCAATAAAGTGGTCAGAAATTGGCAATTTGGCCTTCATACATATTTCTAAACATGCCAATTTCAAAACAGGGTCCAGAATGAACAATGCAGACATTCCTGGCACTAAAATAACATTTTCTTTGTTCATTAGTCATGTCTCCAGGCCCCTCTTATATTACAGTGGACCCCCGGAATTCGATATTTAATCCGTTCCTGAGAGCTCATCGAATACCAAAAATATCGAAAAGCAAATCAATTTTCCTCATAAGAAATAATGGAAATCAAATTAATCCGTGCAAGACACCCAAAAGTATGAAAAAAAAAAATTTTACTACATGAAATATTAATTTTAATGCAATAGAATAATCACAATAACAATAAAAAAATTGACACTTACCTTTAATGAAGATCTGGTGATGATTGATGGGATGGGAGGAGGGGAGAGGTGTTAGTGTTCAGAAGGGGAATCCCCTTCCATTAGGACTTGAGGTAGCAAGTCCTTTTCCGGGGTTACTTCCCTTCTTCTTTTAATGCCACTAGGACCAGCTTGAGAGTCACTGGATTTCTGTCGCACAACATATCTGTCCATAGTTGCCTGTACCCTCCGTTCCTTTATGACTTTCCTAAAGTGTTTCACAACATTGTCAGTGTAATAGTCACCAGCACAGCTTGCAATAGCTGTGTTAGGGTGATTGTCATCAAAAAAGGTTTGCACTTTAAGAAACATTGCACACATTTCCTTAATCTTTGAAGTAGGCAACTTCTTCAATTTCTCTATCCCCTCCACCGAAGCAGTTTCCTCAAGTGTGGCCTCTTGCTGTTGAAGATGATCTATCAGCTCATCAGTGGTTAGTTCTTCATTGTCCTCCTCCACCAACTCTTCCACATCCTCCCCACTAACCTCGAACCCCAAGGACTTCCCCAATGCCACAATGGATTCCTCAACTGGCATAGGATTCTCAGGGTTAGCCTTAAATCCTTCAAAATCCCTTTTGTCTACACATTCTGGCCACAGTTTTTTACAAGCAGAGTTCAAGGTCCTCTTAGTCACTCCCTCCCAAGCCGTACCTATAAGGTTTATACAATTGAGGATACTAAAGTGATCCTTCCAAAACTCTTTTAGAGTCAGTTGAGTTTCTGTGGTCACTATAAAGCACTTTTGAAACATAGCTTTTGTGTAAAGTTTCTTGAAGTTGGAAATGACCTGCTGGTCCATGGGCTGCAGGAGAGGAGTGGTATTAGGAGGCAAAAACTTGACCTTAATGAAGTTCATGTCCCCAGAAAGTCGCTCGGCCAAGTCTCTAGGATGACCAGGGGCATTGTCTAATACCAGGAGGCACTTAAGGTCTAATTTCTTTTCAATTAGGTAATTTTTCACAGTGGGAGCAAATGCTTGGTGTAACCAGTCATAGAAAAAGTCCCTAGTGACCCATGCCTTACTGTTTGCCCTCCACAGCACACACAAATTAGCCTTGAGGACATTGTTTTTCCTGAACACTCTGGGAGTTTCAGAGTGATACACTAATAAAGGCTTCACTTTGCAATCACCACTAGCATTGGCACACATTAACAGAGTAAGCCTGTCTTTCATATGCTTATGTCCTGGGAGTGCCTTTTCCTCCTGAGTAATGTAGGTCCTGCTTGGCATTTTCTTCCAAAACAGGCCTGTTTTGTCGCAATTAAACACTTGTTCAGGTTTCAAGTCTTCACTGTCTATGTAATCCTTGAATCCCTTCACATATTTTTCAGCTGCTTTTTGGTCTGAACTGTCAGCCTCACCATGCCTTACCACACTGTGTATGCCACTACGATTGTTAAATCTTTCAAACCAACCTTTGCTGGCCTTAAATTCACTCACATCAGCACTAGTTGTAGTAAATTTCTTTACCATCGTCATGCAACTGCCTAGCCTTTTCACAAATAATTGCTTGAGAGATGCTATCTCCTGCTATCTGTTTTTCATTTATCCACACCAATAACAGTCTCTCAACATTTTCTAACACTTGCGGTCGCTGTTTCGTAAATCACAGTTGCACCTTTTGCAAGAACAGCTTCCTTGATTGCCGTTTTCCTGGTCACTATAGTAGAGATGGTTGATTGGGGTTTATTATACAACCTGACCAGCTCCACACACGCACTCCACTTTCGTACTTTGCAATTAGCTCTTTCTTCATTTCAATAGTCATTAGCGCCTTTTTTCTCGAAGGGTTGGCACTAGAAGCTTTCTTGGGGCCCATGGTGACTTATTTTGCAGAAAGAAGCACCAAAAACAGTGATAATATGGATAATATGGAATGTACCGAATGTATCCTTAGATACGCGCACACTGGCTGGCTTGTAAACACTGGCACACACGGGGCAGTTCAGGCCACACGTGGACAAGTCTCGTACGAATCGTATCGAATACCGGGTTTTCAATCTGATACCGAGGCAAATTTTTTGCGATATAATGCATCGAATACAGGATTTATCGAATACCGATGCCATTAAATACTGGGGGTCCACTGTATTCTTGTTTTCCATTTTGAATTTTTATTCACACACAAAATAGAAGATTTACTGTTATGCAGACAACTGCATTATTGTAATAATTGTATAAATAATATCACCCCATTCAATACTGCATATTAGACTGGCCAGTTGGACATGTATTGGACGGTGACATCATTTGTTTACTCTTGAACATCGGCAAAAATCGAACATTTCCGCTACTTTGAGTTCAATTTCAAGGTACTCTTCTTCATGAAACCAATCAAACTCATTTCTATTTCTGTAATATATCTTCCATTTTTCTAGGTAGTAGGCTGGTAGACAGCAACTGCCCAGGGAGGTACTACCATCCTGCCAAGTGAGTGTAAAACGGAATTCTGTAATTGTTTTACATGATGGTAGGATTGCTGGTGTCTTTTGTCTGTCTCATAAACATGCAAGATTTCAGGTATGTCTTGCTACTTCTACTTACACTTAGGTCACACTACACATACATATAGTACAAGCATATATATACACAAACATCTGGGTTTTCTTCTATTTTCTTTCTAGTTCTTGTTCTTTTTTATTTCCTCTCATCTCCATGGGAAAGTGGAACAGCATTCTTCCTCTGTAAGCCATGCGTGTTGTAAGAGGCGATTAAATGCCGAGAGCAAGGGGCTAGTAACCCCTTCTCCTGTATAAATTATTAAATTTAAAAAGAGAAACTTTTGTTTTTCTTTTTGGGCCACCCTGCCTTGGTGGGATACCGCCGGTTTGTTAAAAAAAGAAAGAGCTTCCATTTTATCAAATGAGACCAAACAAACGAGAATACAACCATAAAAACCACAAGAAAATATACCGCTAATGGATGGCTAATGGCTGAGAAGTGAACTCTGTTATTTATCATCTGATTTCTTCCATTTTTGAAGTATATGTTAAGAAGCATTTTTCCATCATACACTGCCCAAATTTCAATACGATAGCCCAACAAACAACTGAGAAAAAAAATATTTACCAAAAGTCATATATGGCAAGACCAAGTCAGGTACTTGAAATAAGTCACTTTGAATTTTTTGGGTTATCCTGGGTTCTCTACACATATGCTGCTACATATGATAATCTATGTAGAGAAAATAGCTTTTTTGTTTCAGTGCATTACGAGTGTATATCACAGCCCTGTGCTACACTCCATTTTCTCTAATACATATAAGCCCCCAAGACAGGGAAAGGAGGATAGCACTTGTATCTCTTCACACCTTCGTTGAACCGCTCGGTATTATGCCAAATATTATTCATTCTGGAGTATTTACCATGTTTTATGTTATTTATACTGTTTATTGTGTCAATTTAGATCAATTGTGGTAAGTATATAAGCCATAGTGTTGATATTAGCATAATAATAAAGCATATTCCCCTGCATCACAAGACTGAGCTCATGGCAACTGACAGTGGCTTCAAAGCCACCTTATCTATTATGGACAATGTACTGTGTATGTGTTTTACACAACGAGAAGCATTTCTTTTATTTGTTGGAGCCATGACTAGGGCTAAAAGCAAGCATGTTATAACAACAAATGGAGAAAAAGAAACTGGAATGACTTGTGCAGCAAGTAGCACCACCAAACAATAGCAGCAAGTTGGTGTGGTGACCCTGGAAATTTGAAATTATGCTAGCCGAAATTAGTGCCGGATTACTAATGGAACCGGATGACTGATTGCCGGGTTAGTGATGACCGACCTGTATAAAGAAATTCCATAATAGTTTTGTGGAAGATTCACTCACCAAGAATACTAGGAAAAGCAGACACTAAAAATAATATTTTGCAACAAGGCCCTTACCTGGTTAAGATTTAAGACCCTTAATAAACAATGGGCAAAAGTTTGGGTATTTTTTTCCATATTGCCTTGTGAGATAACTAAATAAACATGATTACTATTGCACATCAACTGATCCCAAATTTTTCACCTGCATTTTCATGTTTCATGAAATCCTCTTCTCTATTTCCACAGTATTTTACAACCTTTAAACACAGAAAACTTGGTTGGCGCTCAACTGACAAGGAACAATCACACTAAATGCATACTTAATACATCTATGATAATGGGTAGATCATGCAATAAGATGTGTCTTGCAGCAGAACAAGCCTAAAGCAGACTAAAATAACACTTGTTTTGTGGCCTCCAATGATATGACAAATAATTTTTCACAATACTTTTACATTTACTTTTTTTTCTTTTTGGGCCACCCTGCCTTGGTGGGATACAGCCAATTTTGTTGAAAGAAAGATTTGTACATTTCTATTAGACTATGAATTAAAACAACAATCCTTTGATAAAGCTGTCAACAACATTTAGTACATCATTACAATCCTAATTAAAACTGCTGTTATCCAAGTAACAAATTATATCGCTCATTTCGAGTGTAACTTCAGGTTTCCAACATTTGTGTAAGCATTCCTATGTGACAAACAAGATTTTCAAAACTTACAAATGCAAATCCAGGCCCTTTAAAACTAGAAATCCCTCACAACTGGCACGGTAGTCAGATTGTAGAGTTTTTACCTGTATTATTATTATTATTATTACAACCAAAAGGAAGCGCTAAACCTACTAGGGTCATACAGCACCTGTATTAATAACACTGGCCAACAAAGGTTTCAATTCACAAAAACCTCTTTACCCTTATCTAAATACTGTTCACCTATATGTTTCACTGTAAACACTTAGTCTACATAACCCTTTCTTTCCTAAAGCCTCCTTGTTCATCTGCTATCCTAATCTCCATCTTACTCTTAAATCTTTCAATAATAACTCTACCATACACTTTACCAGGTATGCTCAGGTTTACCAGGTATTCTCATTCAGTAATGAGCAAAATGTAAATTACTAAATGCGGCACTGCCCCACCTGTTGCAGTTCCTTGTGCACCTGTAAGTGTTGCCATATCCAGAATAGTGGTGCAGTGCAAATCTTTGGCTGCATATGCCACCCCATCACTCAAAACAAGGCGACCCTCAGCATCAGTGTTGTTGATTTCTACAGTTCTAGGAATAACAGGTTTCTATTAAACAAATTTTAATTACAAAATGCACTTAGTTGTTACAATTGGCTGATCTTAATTTCCACTGGTTATGTTGAATATTTTGGGCACATTAAAATTTGAACTTAATAGTACTGTACTTGAATTGTATAGCTGAGGTTACATTTTTGGAATGATAAGTTTAATATAATTAAGTTGCCTGAAGATAAGATCATTGAATATTATTATTTTAAGTAACAAAACTGTACGAACATTAAAACAGCAATGTTAATATGAAAAGGGGGGATAAATGTTAACCCTTAAACTGTCCAAACGTAGATCTATGTTTTTTCAACATCTGAAAGTATGTAAAAAAAGTAGATCTTTTTTTTTTTACATTTGAAAATGTGTAAAAAACTTTGATTTACTTTTTTTTTTTGTTATATTTGAAAATATGTAAAAAAACGTAGATCTACTTTTGGAGCACTACGCATGTGAACGTAGATCTGCTTGGACAGTTTAAGGGTTAGTATGGGGGAAGGAGTAAAAGTATAGTGTTGACAATAAGTGTATCACCTAGGTAGTAGGTTGGTAGACAGCAACTGCCCAGGGAAGTACTACTGTCCTGCCAAGTGAGTGTAAAACAAAAGTCTGTAATTGTTTTACATGATGGCAGGATTGCTAATGTCTTTTTCCGCCTCATAAACATGCAAGATTTCAGGTATGTCTTGCTACTTCTACTTACACTTACGTCACAGTACACGTGCATGTACAAGCATATATATACACATCCCTCAGGGTTTTCTTCTATTTTCTTACTAGTTCTTGTTCTTATTTCCTCTTATCTCTGCAGGAAAGTGGAACACAATTCTTCCTCCGTAAATCATGTGTGTCATAAGACGATTAAAATGCCAGGAGCAAGGGGCTAGTAACCCCTTCTCCTGTATACATTACTAAAGTTAAAAAGAGAAACTTTTGTTTTTCTTTTTGGGCCACCCTGCCTCGGTGGGATAGGGCCAGTTTGTTGAAAGAAAGAAGAATAAGTGCATCATGATGATTGGAATCTGGATAAGCAGGTTGCACCTGATATTTCATATTTATATTTAATCTATGTAAATGAACCGAACATCAAATGGAGACGATGTTACTTAGCAATATTTTAGAATCAATTGGTAGATACAGAACTTTTAGAAACTTCTAGTACAGGGTTCCATATTATTTAGCCTTCTATTGGCATAGAGTTTCTACTCAGGTTGAGCCAAACACATGGAATTTCAAAGAGAGATTAGTTCCTTGTTTTGTACCTATGCATTCTGTTGTAGCTACAAAAGAAAAGTTTTAGGATTTTTTTTTTTTTGTATAAAGTTTCTTGTATATGTAGCAAATCTAGGTACTAAGTCAGGTATATTTAAACTTTTGAAAAGTGGGGGTGCATGATGTCAGTAAAGTTTTTATTTGGATAGTGAGGCACGATTAATTTGTGTAAGAGGACTATTTCCTCATAAAAGAAGGCCTTAGGCAAAGAGTTGTGAAGAAACCATGGCTGTGTAACATAGTATTAATAGTATTTATGAAGGAACTCAGGGTAACAAGTTCGCCAGAATGAGTTCTGGAGGTGGGTAGTAAAGAGCTTGCACTTGAAAGGAGGGATGAGGATGTTGCACACACTAATCCAAGTTTATTGCTAAATGATGCAACATGCTACAAATAATTTCCTTAATGTATTTCCATCCATACAGTGGAACTCGGTTTTCGCTTGCCCTGGTTTTCGTCGAATTCGGCTTTCGATGACTTTTTTTGTCAAAAGTACATCCCAGTTTTCGTTCATCACCTCGGTTTTCGTCAGTCCGCCATACCAAACATGTCTGCCTGCCCGCCCCCACACAAAGCATCCCACAAGTTCTGAGACAGTCTGGTTTTGTTTCTCGTCGAGTGAGCATTACCCTGCTCATTCATCCAAAACATTTTGTAATAATCCATTGTTTTTTGTGCTTGTTTATTGAGTGCGGCTGCTAAATAAGCCAACATGGGGCCAAAGAAAGTTCCGAGTGCCAGCCATTTGACAAAGGCGGCGAGAAACATGATAGAATTCAAGAAAGAACTCATAGCAAAGTATGAAAGTGGCGTACGTGTGGTAGATTTCGCTAGGATGTACAGGAAGTCTTCATCAATGATCAGTTCCATCCTGGTGAAGAAAAAAGAAATCAAGGAATCTGATGTTGCAAAAGGAGTAATGTGCTAATGAAGAGCTGCAGCACCTTCAACTAGAACAGCAACAGGTTGCAGCTGAGAAAATTACTTCAGAGGAGGAAGAGAGGGGAAAGACTGTGCCTTCTTCAGTGATTAAGGACATGTGTGCAAAGTGGAGTGTTGCAAAGTTTTGTGGAGAAATATCACCCTAACAAAGCTGTTGCAAGCCATGTCTGCAACATGTTCAATGACAATGCCTTGTCCCATTTTAGGTAAATCTTAGAGAGACGCCAGAAACAGACCTCTCTGGACAGATTTTTTGTGTGACAGGGGTCCAGTGCCAGTAAAAGACAAAGAAAGGAAGTAACCCCGGATAGGGACTTGATACCTGAAATCCTTATGGAGGGGGATTCCCCTTCCACCCAATAACCTCTCCTCCTCCCTCTCCCCTCCTCGTGTCTTCCTTACGCCAACAAATTTTCAATAAAGGTAAAAGTGATATTTTATGTTCATTTATCCATTTCATTAGTCCTTTATATTTATTTCTCATTGTTTCCTGTGTAAAACTATAGTTATTCTCTATAAAATGTATTTTTTGTTAATACTTTTGGGTGTCTGGAATGGATTAATTGGATTTACATTTTTTCTCATGGGAAATATTGCTTCAGTTTTTGTCCAATTCAGTTTTCATCAGAGTTTCTGGAACGAATTAATGATGAAAACCTAGGTTCCACTGTATATTTAAAGGGGTATCTTGATGTTAGTAAAAGATGTACATTATTCATACAACTGCATTTAAGTGGTTCCTGGATAATGGTACAGTAATGAATTATAATTACTTCAGTCCTACTTTTTATGTACAGTATTTTAAAGATTCAATTGCCTAAGCCTGCTACTTACATTCAGTGGACATTTAATATTTCTGAGTGTTTCTTAATAGTTCTGATTAGCAACATTTCCTGTTCAATGCACAAGGCTTGGGCTGAGAGAAGGTTGCAGGAGCAATGATCCCAGGAGCCATAAATACGAATATTAAGTTTGTCTTTCAATAATCTGGCCGTAGCCCACAGAGGCAGGATGGCCCGAAAAGAAAAACAAAAGTTTCTCTTTTTAAATTTAGTAATATATACAGGAGAAGTGGTTACTAGCCCCTTGCTCCAGGCATTTTAGTTGCCTCTTATGACACGCATGGCTAACAGAGGGAGAATTCTGTTCCACTTCCAATGGAGAAATTAACAGTTAACAGGTAATAATCAGTAATTAGTACAGTAACTAATATGCATTATCAACAGAACTCTGAGATACCAAAAAAGTACAATATTTGCTATTTAACATTTACACTAGTTCTGATGTGACAAAAAAATAGCAATAAAAATAACCACCAACCAATGCAGTACATGACTGATACTAATTTTTTTTTTTCCAGAAACTTGAAAAAATAAAGGTATCCCTAATAAAGAATGTTCATGGTCTAGATATAGCAAATCCTTCACATAGTATTAACATTAAATACAGTTTGCATGCAAACTCGAGTGCCAACTAAAGCCCTTCTAATGAAGTACAGTACAGCCTCTCCTCACTTAACAACGGAGTTCCGTTCCTAAGACCTCATCGGTAAACAAATTCGTCAGTGAGGAGAATACTGTATAATACTTAGAGTCAACCATCTTTGATATTGTCTTAATGTCACCTTTGCACCATTTATAGCATTCCTCGTATATTTTTCAATGTTTATACAGTAGTGTACTGTACATTGTAATCAGCAGAATAGAGGAAATCAGCTCTTAACATATATTATTTAGGTATGAATACTGGTCAAAGAGCCCGTCGTAAGTCTAAGTTGTCGGTAAACGAGTACGTCGCTAATTGAGGAGAGGCTGTACTAAGTTGGTGATAAAACACTGAGTGATAAAGATTCATTCACTTTACAAAAAATATATACAATAAGATCACTTTACCTTCCTGAATACAATGTATGAATGTCATCAGGCTTTGTTGCAGTTGGTCCAACAGCATTTTCAGCCAAACAAAATACAGCATGAAGGTTTTGTGTAAATCCTGCTTGCACAGCCACATAAAAGGCGCCTAATATTGCAGCTGCACCCCCACAATCACGCTTCATTCCTGGCATACTCGTCTGATAAAATAACACTGATAAGACATACGGCATTATACTTGAGATATACACAAAAATTAGAGAATTGGCAAGGTATCTTTCATATCTTTGCTTGATTTATAGTACTCATACAGGGAACAATACACCTGTGTGATAATATACATCTCACCTTTGTTTTGATACTCAGTCCTCCAGTGTCATATACAATGCCCTTGCCAACCCAGGCCATGTTTTCTGTTCCACCAGGTGGAGAGTGAGAAGCACAACAAGTGCTGGAGGATGGACAGCGGCTTTTCCTACTCCGTATATACCGCCAAAGCCTTTAACAGCCAGCTCCTCACCTCTAATAATTTGTGGTTTGAGTCCCAAAATTTGAGCCACCTTCTGCACTTCCTGTTAAAAAAAAAATTAGCCATGTAATTTATTCAGCAATACTGAATAAATCCTTTACTTTGTACTGTAATTTGTTAAAAGATACAGATTTTCCATCAGAGGCTACATGCTCTAACCCAATCAATGAATTACTGATCATTCAACATCTGATTACATTTTTTATTTATACAGTGCTTCAATACAAGGGAAATTTGCATTTGATATCAACACAGTTTTGAAAGGACAGCTATAGAATGAATAATGGCAAATGTGCTTTTCTTTGGATCACCTTGTCTTGGTGGGACATGACTGTTGAGGAAAAATAAAATTCAAACTCCTCTGAGATGCCACAAAAATATATACAGTGGACCCCCGCATAACAATATTAATCCGTTCATGAGAGCTCATTGTTATGCGAAATTATCGTTATGCGAATGAATTTTCCCCATAAGAAATAATGGAAATCAAATTAATCCGTGCAAGACACCCAAAAGTATGAAAAAAAAAATTTTACCACATGAAATATACATTTTCCTACACGCATAGAGAGAAGGATACATGCACAATAGTAGAGTAGTACATGCACAGTATATATTGTGCATGTACTACTCTACTAAATGAAGAATAAATGACACTTACCTTTATTGAAGATGCAGCAATGACAGATGAGACACTGTGTCCAGGGAGTGCCTTTTCCTCCTGAGTACTGTAGGTCCTGTTTGGCATTTTCTTCCAGAACAGGCCTTATCACACTGTGTATGCCACTACAATTCTTAAATCTCTCAAACCAACCTTTGCTGGCTTTAAATTCACCAATATGAGCACTAGTTCCAGGCGTTTTTCCCTGTTCACCAGGGTGTTAGTCGACTGGTGTGGGTTGCATCCTTGGAGACAAGATTAAGGACCCCAATGGAAATAAGTTAGACAGTCTTCGATGACACTGACTTTTTGGGGTTATCCTGGGTGGCTAACCCTCTGGGGTTAATTGTTTCTTGGTACTCTCAATAAGCCACACCAACAACAGTGCTACAGCAGCAGCAGCAGCAGCTGACAGTGCTACAGCAGCAGCAGCAGCTGACAGTGCAGCAGCAGCAGCTGACAGTGCTACAGCAGCAGCAGCAGCAGCTGACAGTGCAGCAGCAGCAGCTGACGTGTACAGCTAGCAGACATGCTACAGCAGCAGAGAGGTACTACACAGCAGCAGCAGATGGTACTACAACAGCAGCAGCAGCAGCAGCTGATGGTGGTACAGCAGCAGCAGCAGCAGCTGATGGTGGTACAGCAGCAGCAGCAGCAGCTGACGGTGCTACAGCAGCAGCAGCAGCTGACAGTACAGCAGCAGCAGCCGACAGTGCAGCAGCAGCAGACGATGCTACAGCAGCAGCAGATGGTACTACAGCAGCAGCAGCAGCAGCAGCTGATGGTGGTACAGCAGCAGCAGCAACTGACGGTACTACAGCAGCAGCAGCAGCTGACAGTGCTACAGCAGCAGCAGCAGCTGACAGTGCAGCAGCAGCAGCAGCTGACAGTGGTACAGCAGCAGCAGCAGCAGCTGACAGTGGTACAGCAGCAGCAGCAGCAGCTGATGGTGCTACAGCAGCAGCAGCTGACAATGCTACAGCAGCAGCAGCATCAGCAGTTGACCATGGTACCACAATATTTCGATAATATTTCTCACCTTTTTTACCACAGGATTGGCACTAGAAGCTTTCTTGGGGCCTATGGTCACTTATTTTGCAGATAAAATCACCAAAAACACTGTAATAATACGAAATGTTACGATTGTATGCTTGGATGTTACCGCGAGGCTGGCTTGTAAACAATGCCACCGGCGGAACATGTGAGGCTGGCTCAGGCCTCACATAGACGCGTCTCGGACGAATAGCGTTGAGCGGGTTTTTTAGCGGTATGCGAGGCAAAATCTTAGCGATAAAATGCATCGGTATGCGGATTTAACGTTATGTGATGCCAACGGTATGCGGGGGTCCACTGTACTTGCATTATTTCTGCCAATACTACTACAGACTTTCCAGGAGTATTGTACCCTCATTTAACCCTTTCAGGGTTTCGGCCGTACTAGTACGGCTTACACACCAGGGTTTTTGACATAATAGTACACCTAAATTCTAGCGCCCTCAAATCTAGTGAGAAAGCTGGTAGGCCTACATATGAAAGAATGGGTCTATGTGGTCAGTGTGCGTGGCATAAAAAAAATCCTGCAGCACACAGTGCATAATGAGAAAAAAAAAACTTTGACCGTGTTTTTGGATTAAAACAGTGACTTTGCACTGTATTTTCGTATGGTATTTATTGCTGTATTCTAGTTTTCCTGGTCTCATTTTATAGAATGGAAGACATATTACAGAAATTGAGATGATTTTGACTGGTTTTACAAAGAAAAGTACCTTGAAATTGAGCTCAAAGTAGCAGAAATGTTCGAGTTTTACCCAAGTTCAAAAGTAAACAAATCATGCTATGCGTCCAATACACGTCAACTGGTGAGTCTAATATTCTTTCACAAGTGCGCTGATATTATTTATACCATTTCTACACCAATGCAGTAGTCTGCATAACTGTAAATCTTCTAGTTTTTTGTGAGAATAAAAATTCAAAGTGGAAAGCAAAAGAATGTAAGAGGGGCACGGGGACGTGACTAATGAACAGAGGAAATGTTATTTTAGTGCCAGGAATGTCTTTCTTGTTTATTCTGGACTCTATTCGGAAATTGGCATCTTTTGAAATTTGGGTGAAATTGGCAAAATTGCTAAATTCTGACCACTGAACTGGATAGTTGAAATTGGTAAATGGGTGGTTTCTTGTACTCATTTGAGAGAAAAAAAATGGAGGTCTAGCGAAATGATTTTTGTCGACAAGTACACTGGAATTGGCCGAAAATAGGGCTCAAAGTGGGCAAAATCGCCGATGCGTAAACATCGTCGAGACCGCTAAATTAGCGAGAGCATAATTCCGTAAGTTTTCCATCAAATTTCATACTTTTGGTGTCATTATGATCGGGAAAAGATTCTCTATATTTTCATAAGAAAAAATAATTTTTTTTTTTTTAAATTTGGCCGACCCTGAGAACAAGTCTCTGAGAGGGCCTGTCGACCCTAAAAGTGTTAAGAAAAATTCTTTTTAAAAATCAGTCCTCAACTAGTACTGTATTTAATTTGTGTACTGAATGATGATGAAAGAATTTTCTTTTTGGGTCACCCTGCTTTGGTGAGAGACCGTTATTGTAGCTTTCCATGGACTGGTACCAGATTTCATACTATTACTAGCGTGTAGTCAGATATTTATTAGTGGATGTGTCAGCAGATGGGTCTATGAAGGAAGAGGTGAATCACAGAATTGATGAGGAAAAAAAGGCAACTGGGACACTTAGGAGTCTGTGGACACAAAGAACTTTGTCCATGGAAGCAAAGAGGGTAGTGTATCAGAGTATATTTACACCAACGCTCTTATATGGGTGTGAAGCATGCGTGGTGAATGTTGCAACAAGGAGAAGGCTGGAGCCAGTGGAGATGTCATGTCTGAGGGCAATGTGTGGTGTGAATATAATGCAGAGAATTCATAGTTTGGAAATTAGGAGGAGGTGCGGGATTACTGAAACCATTATCTAGAGGGGTGAGGAAGGGTTGTTGAGGTGATTCAGACATGTAGAGAGATGGAACAAAATAGTATGACTTCGAGTGTATAAATCTGCAGTGGAGGGAAGGCGGGGAAGGAGTCGGCCTAGGAAAGGTTGGAGGGAGTGGGTAAAGGAGGTTTTGTGTGCGAGGGGCTTGGACTTCCAGCAAGCATGCATTCTTCTTCTTCTGTTGGGTTTCAGGGCCACTGACAGCATACGCCGTATCGAGCCCAGCCGTCCAGTGCTAGGAAAGGGAATATCAACCAAATTGGAAGAATGTCTTGACTAATAACTATGTATCATATGTCTCTGATATGCCCTGAAGCCAGCAGGAAGGAGCAGGTACAGGCCAATATCTCCTGACGGTCCAGAGGGCGAAACCCCTCTCTGTTGAGGAGGACAGGTAGAGTGAAAGTGTGCACCCCAAGTGCGCGCAAGGGCGCACGGAGAGTAGTCCGTGCAGAGTGATAATGTGGGCACCACAGCAGGAAGTGTTCCACCGTCTCAGGCTGTGAGGGACACCACAGGCAGTACGGAGAGTCCGTCATCTGAAGGCGATATGGATGAGCCGCCAGTCGCAAGTGCCCGACTCTAAGGCGAGTCAGTGCAACGTCCACCAAGCGGTTGGGATGGTGAGCCCAAGGGCAGGGGCCATTAAAAGTTCGGACAGAGCCCAACGCCGAAGAAGAGAGGGAATGTGCAAGGCCCTCTTGCCACTGATGACGATTCCCTTCCAAACAGCCCTTGTGAAATCACTGTGGCCCAGGGCAAGAGGGGTAACAGTAGGAAGTGTGTGCGCGAGGGAGGCCGCCCGATCTGCCACTTCATTACCCCAGATTCCAACATGGGCGGGAACCCACTGAAGGGAGATGCATGTTTGATAGGAGCAAATGGAGACGAATGGTTTTTATGACTTGACGTGATGTTGGAGTGTGAGCAATGTGACATTAAAGAAGGGATTCAGGTAAACCAGAAGGCTGGACTTGAGTCCTGAAAATGGGAAGTATAGTCTACACTCTGAAGGAGAGGTGTTAATGTTGCAGATTTATAACTGCAGTGTAAGCGTGCCTCTGGCAAGACAGTGAAGAAGTGGGAGACAGCTGATGTGTTAATAATAAAAAAAATACTAGCGTTCCGTATATATTATTCTAAGTATGCTGTACAGCATGTATACACATACAGTGGAACCTCGAACAAACCAGAATCAGAACAATTTTGTTCAGAAAATACAGACTCAGTCTATGGCATTTTCCTAGAGTCCGAACGCACTGACTTATTTAAAATCCAGTTGTAAAAAAATTTTACACGAGAGCCCTGTTTCGAAAGTGCTTTGAAGTGACCTTTGACACTGACCTAACTCCGAAGAGACTTTCGGACGAGTCAGTTCAACAAGCTTCAGTGTGTGAGGCTGATAATTAAAGCCTGGGATATACTGTTTAGGATATCAAACTCTTTGCATTTCAAACACACCTAAGAACCAGTTAAGTTCATACACCAAAGTTCCACTGTATACTTATAGCTAATTATATTTTAAAACTTTTTTTTTTTTTGACAAATTTTTTTTTTGCTTTATCTGACAATCAAAAGTGTCATTCATTGATTTTGATTATTCACCGTGCTTCTAGAAATGGAACCACACAAATACTGGAGATTTAATGTATATAAGCAGCGGCATAGCAGGGATACCAGAAAATGTTTCTCCGTAAATGAAGTGATTTATGACTGGAATAAACTCAGAAACAGTGTATGGCAAAATCATTGGAATTTTTAAGAGCATAAAAGATAAATATACAGAAAGCAGGAATAATGTGAGACCAAGGTCTATTCCTGAACCACAAATAGGGAAATTATATATACTGTACTGGTAGGTGCTGTAACGGTACACAAACTGATGAAAACTTTGAAAATACAGAGCACTAAGAATTATCAGTGATTTACAGCTTCAAAATAAGGAGAAACAGAATTTTACTATATCCAGTACCTCAATGAAAGCATCAGTGTGCATCTCATTGGCTGGTGAATCTACAATTCTAGCAGCAAGGCGTACACCGTAAACAGCATCATTCAATACCTGCCAAGAGAAAAACTATTACACACAAAATCAATGAAAGCTGTGAATTTTCCATTAATAAGAGGATACTTATTACCAATAATTTCATAAATTAATGTCAAATAGAAATAATTTTACGTAACATGGAAGAAGCATAATTAGGCTGTATATAAAATTCCAGCTTGAGAAAACTTTAATAAAATAAAGTTTTCTTAAGCTGGAATAGACTTTTTAACTAAATAAAGCATATGCAAAAAAAGTGTGAATCAGAAACTTATCAAATATTTTTAGAAAAGAACATTAAAGACACTGACTTATAATACTTTTATTAATACTCACATTTAAATTCTTGATAATACAGGTAAGAGAGAGCAAGTTAAAAACTTCTATAACAGAAACGTAAAATGCCAAAATAAAATAAAAATACTTTGTTCCTTCAAATCACACGCAGAAAAACTTAACTAACTTTGATATCCTCATCAGTCACTGGTGTATCCCCCTTTCCAATTAGCAACACCTCCACAGTTATGGTGTGGTCGGTGGATGTAGCTGTGGCAGTCTTCCGTGAGTAAGTGGGATAAGCTCTTGCAACACCACAGGCACTGGCAAAGAGATCTGCTTTCTCACACACAAGCTGTAATGGCAAGAGATACAGGCTCCATTCAAGCATTTTAAAATATGAAACATTCAAGTGAGATCTAGCCCAATGAAATGGCAGTTTCAGTTACTCTATACTGTACTGTAAAATATCTACATAGTATGACTACAGTATATTCATACCAGCTTCATGCAAATAACCCAACCAACCTAGAAACATCTAGCCAAATAGAAAAGACACATGAATCTATCAATGATTGTACACAGACAGAAGAGCTTTCACTCTTGCCTGAGTCGCCACGATTCCACTTGTGAACAAACAGCCTATTCCACCAACAGCAATAACCGTGAATAACTGACCGTCAACTGCTTAATAAGCCTCACTTGATAGCTTGACCTTAAACTGCACCAAGCATAGTACTGCCACTATATTTATTTTATTAAAATTTTTAGAGATTCCTCCATTGAAAGTTTTTACTTACTAATATTGTTGAATAGCTCATCCTCCTAATTAATATCAATACATATCTGAAGGGACTCAGGGAAACCTGTTATTTTTATATAGCCGGACTTAGAGTCCTGGAAATGGGAAGTACAATGCCTGCACTCTAAAGGAGGGGTTTCGGGATATTAGCAGTTTGGAGGGGTATGTTGTTTATCTTTATACGTATATGCTTCTAAACTGTTGTGTTCTGAGCACCTCTGCAAAAACAGTGATTATGTGTGAGTGAGGTGAAAGTGTTGAATGATAATGAAAGTATTTTCTTTTTGGGGATTTTTTCTTTCTTTTTGGGCCACCCTGCCTCAGTGGGAGACGGCCGACTTGTTTAAAAAAAAAAAAAAAAAAAAAACATATCTGGTTAAGAAGTACAATGTGTAACTTGTTGAATCTTGCTTATAGATGACAAGCTAATCTAATCAAACCCACTTTGTAATAAATCAGTACACAGTACAGTATTTTCAAAGTTAATATTTGCTTCCTAAGTAGTAAGTTGGTAGACAGCAACTGCCCAGGGAGGCACTACTGTCCTGCCAAGTGAGTGTAAAACAAAAGCCTGTAATTGTTTTATGTGATGGTAGGATTGCTGGCATCATTTTTCTATCTCATAAATATGCAAGATTTCAGGTACATCTTGCTACTTCTACTTACACTTAGGTCACACTACACACGCACGTACAAGCATATATATACACACCCCTCTGAGTTTTCTTCTATTTTCTTACTAGTTCTTCTTCTTGTTTATTTCCTCTTATCTCCATGGGGAAGTGGAACAGAATTCTTCCTCCGTAAGGCATGTGTCGTAAGAGGCGACTAACATGCTGGGAGCAAGGGGCTAGTAACCCCTTCAGTGTACATTACTGAAGTTAAAAAGAGAAACTTTTTTTTTATGGGCCACACTGCCTTGGTGGGATTACGCTGGTTTCTTGAAAGAAGAAGAGAATATCTGCTTAAAAAGTATCCAGCTTTACAACTCTCCCAATAACGTACCACAATACATTCTTCAGCACCTGTCGAATGAGTTTTTATTATCTTTGTAATGGAGTGCGTTCGTGAAGGAGTGTTGTGCCGGGAACACTTCACAGGAAGGGCTGCAACAGTTGCCAGGTTGAGGTAAAGTGAACAGTAGTCAGTTGGGGAAGGTTGCAGGCTATTCACCGACAGTGTCCATGCCTGTAAAGAAAAAATATATTTATAGGCACCTAGTCAACTGGGTTATGATTATCAGAAAACTGGATTATGCAAAAAACTTAAGATAGTATAAAAATTCCTATTTTTTACCATTATACTACAGGAGGACCCCACTTACACAGCAGGCTAGGTTCCAGGTTAATGCCGCAAGCAAAAAGCGCTGTAAAGTGAAAGATAGCCTTTTTTCACTTTCAAATGCATACAGAAGACTGATAACAGTTTACACTATCATATATTAAGTGAGCAATAGAGCTAGGCCTAAAACATACATACAGTACACACATTACTTACCTTGAATATATTTATTGTTAAATTAGACACATGTGCAACTCTTGGGTATCTTTATTGAGGAAACGTTTCGCCACACAGTGGCTTCATCAGTCCATACAAAGGATAAACTTGAAGAACAGGAGGAGAATGAGGTAATCAGTCCCTCAACCTTGAGTCGATGTGGTCAGTCCATCCTCAAGGTTGAGGGACTGATTACCTCATTCTCCTCCTGTTCTTCAAGTTTATCCTTTGTACGGACTGATGAAGCCACTGTGTGGCGAAACGTTTCCTCAATCAAGATACCCAAGAGTTGCACATGTGTCTAATTTAACGTGTCGGTTCTTTGAACCATTCATCTACAATATATTTATTCAAAACAGCTGCATAAGTAAATCACCATAAAGCAAAGTGCTGCAAAGCAGGGCCTGCCTATTTTATAATTATATCCATGAGAAAGTGCTAAACTTGTAGGGAGTTGTACAGTGCTGGTGTAATGGAAGGTAATCACCCTTGATCTAAGGAAGAGGAGAATATTTCTAATTCCTAAGATCAAGACTACTTTGCCAGCATCAGGGCACTTCCCCTGAATGCTTTACAGCCTCTCCTCACTTACCGACGTATTCATTTACTGACCATTTGGACTTACAACCACCTCTCCAACCAGTATGAAAACCTAATGTATATAAGAGCTGATTTCCTCTATTTTGTTTTTACATTATTATTTTAATCATGGGGAAGCGCTAAACCCGAAAGATTATACAGCGCTGGGGGGAAGGAGGAAGGTATTCAGGCTTAATTCAGGGAACTAGAGCACAGATCTAATTCCCTACATCAAGAGCCCCTCACCAGCGTCAACAAACCTCCCATGAGGGGATCTGTTTATTACAGTATACAGTGGAACCTCTACTTGCGAGCGCATCCACGTGCAAGTTTTTCCAAATACGAGCAGTCAATGGGTTGATTTTTTGCTTCCACACGCGAGCAAAATTTCCACAAGCGAGCAGACCTCAAGGGAGGTTCCTTAACACTGGAGAGGGGCTCTTGCTCTTGATCTAGGGAACTGTATCTCATTTGTTTGTTGGACTATCTTATTGAAACTTGGGCAATGATGGAAAGATGCTTCTTAACGTATACCAAAAATGAAAGAAATTGGAGCATAAATAATGGAGTTCACTTCTCAGCATTTAGCCACCCCTTAGCGGTATTTTCGTACGGTTTTTATGGTTGTATTCTCGTTTTTTTGGTCTCATTTGATATATTACAGTAATAGATATAATTTTGATTGCTTTTACGACGAAAAGCACCTTGAAATTGAGCTCAAAGAAGGAGAAATGCTCATTTGCTTGACTATGTTCAAGAGTAAACAAATGACGTCACTGTCCATTCCAATATGCAGTCGTGAATGGGTTGACATTATTTATACAATTATTGCAATAAGGCATAACAGTAAATCTTATATTTTTTGTGTGAATAAAAATTACAAATTATTTATATTGTAATAATAATAATAATAGATAGATAATAATGATAGATAAACAAGCCGTATAGATGATATTAGCGAAATTATTCAAGAAGTATTTTGTCTAGTCTCCAGACAAATTGTCGTCCACTGACGACACCGCCCATACCACTACATGAATTACACATTTTATTCATTTTAAAGTATATACTGTATCAGGTTTCTAAGTTATTTATATTGTTCATTATGTCATATTAGATCAAGTGAGATAGATAAATAAGCCGTAAAGTTGATATTAACGAAATTATTGAAGTACAGAATTCCACTGGAATGGATTAATTGCATTTCAATTAAGTTATATGAGAAAAATTGACTCTGCAAATGAGCAATTCCAGTTGCGAGCAAGGTCATGGAACGGATTAAACTTGCAAGTAGAGGTTCCACTGTACAGTAAACTACTGTACAGTGGAACCTCTACTTGCGAGCTTGTCCACGTGCGAGTTTTTCCAAATACGAGCAGTCGATGGGTTGATTTTTTGCTTCCATACGTGAGCAAAATTTCCACAAGCGAGCAGACCTCAAGGCAGGTTCCTTGACACTGGTGAGGGGCTCTTGCTCTTGATCTCAGGAATTGTATCTCATTTGTTTGTCGGACTATCTTATTGAAACTTGGGCAATGTATGATGGAAAGATGCTTCTTACCGTACACCAAAAATGAAAGAAATCTAAGCATAAATAACGGAGTTCACTTTTCAGCAATTAGCCACCCCTTAGCGGTAATTTTGAATGGTTTTTATGGTTGTATTCTCATTTTTTTCGTCTCATTTCATAGAATGGAAGATATATTACACAAATATGTAGATATGATTTTAATTGCTTTCACGACGAAAAGTACCTTGAAACAGAGCTCAATCTAGGAGAAATGGTCCATATGCAGTCGAGAATGGGTTGACATTATTTATACAATTATTGCAATAAGGAATAACAGTAAATCTTATATTTTTTGTGTGAATAAAAATTTTAAATTATTATTATTATATAAATATGTATGTATATTAATAATACGTATGTATAATAATAATAGCATAATACAATAATAATAATAATAATAATAATAATACATATATAATAATAATGTACTACATATAATAATTATAATAGATGGCTTCAAAAGGCCGTCACTTGATGGCAGTGTTTACCACAACAAAGAGGGAGCGGTTGTGACCGCCTCCACCTGTTACAAAATGACATATTTTATTCATTCTAGAGTATATATCATGTTTCTATGTTATTTTTATTGTTTGTTATGTCACATTAGATGAACTATGATATATAAATAAGCCGTATAAATATTAGCAAAATTATTCATGAAGTATTCTGCCCGGTCTCCAGACAAACTCTCATCCACCGCCGACACTGCCCATACCACTACATGAATGACATATTTAATTCATTTTAGAGTATACACGTATATCAGGTTTCTATGTTATTTATATTGTTTATTATGTCATATTAGATGAAGTGAGATAGATAAATAAGCCGTAGAGTTGACATCAGCGAAATTATTGAAGTACAGAATTCCACTGGAACGGATTAATTGCATTTCAATTATGTAATTTAAATGAGGAAAATTGACTGCAAACGAGTAAATCCTGTTGCGAGCAAGGTTATGGAACAGATTAAACTCGCAAGTAGAGGTTCCATTGTATAAACATTTAAAAATATACCAGAAATGTTATAAATGGTGCAAAGGTGGCATTAAAAAAATATGTAAAGATGGCTGACGCAAACCCATTACCGGTATAGTATGCTCCTTGCTTAAGGACCAATTTGCTTACCGACCTACTCTTAGGAACGGAACCCTGTCGTTAAGTGAGGAGAGGCTGTATACCAATAAATTTTTGTCAGTACAGTCTACCTATATCTAAAAACAATAAAAAATCAGAGTCAAAATTTTTCTTTCTTTGCACAGTGTACAATGTGTAGTTTACATGTAATAAAGAAAGCCACTAACATGCATCAGCATTTTGGGCAGACTAATTCTAATTCTCTTACAGACTACTTAAAACTAGACATAGGTTACTACAAAAGGTTGAAAAGATTTATAAGTAATAAAATTTATAATAGGCAGCAAATAAAAAATATTTCAATTAGTACAATTTTAAGTGTGCATTAATACTTCAAATTGATTTAGTGATCTAAGTTAATTGGATCTATGGCTTCAGGCATGGTATAGTGTTGGTATAGTTAAATTTGGCAGATGAGGTGATTTTTAATTATAGCCCTTAACTGACTGTCAGACAGGGAACTTTTTGCTAGGTCCATTCCCATTTAAATTTGGTGGAACTGATTAAACCTCATACAAACTGCAATCAATCCATTCATCAAAAATTCAAAATACAGTGGACCCCCGACTTACAATGTCCTCAACCTGCGTTAAAACCAACTTATGATGCTTATCACCATAAAAATTTGACCCCGACATACGTTAAAAAACTCAACTTACACCATTCATCCCATACACGTCCACGTGTCTGTCTGGCCTGAGCGCCTCAGCTGAGCTAGTGTGACATTGTTTACAAGCCAGGGTAGATACGGCTGCATGCATATATTCGATAAATTTTATATTATTCCAGTGTTTTTAGTGCTTTTAACTGTTAAGTAAGCCACCATGGGCCCAAAGAAAGCTTCTAGTGCCAACACTGTGGTAAAAAGGGTGAGAAATACTATCGTACCACGGTCAGCTGCTGCATCATGGTCAGCTGCTGCTGTAGCACCATCAGCTGCTGCTGCACCATGGTCAGCTGCTGCTGCACCACGGTCAGCTGTACTACTTGAAGATGTGGAGAGACTGTTAATGGTGTGGCTTACCGAGAATACCGAGAAACAATTAACCCCAGAGGGTTAGCCACCCAGGATAACCCAAGAAAGTCAGTGTGTCATCGAGGACTGTCTAACTTATTTCCATTGGGGTTCTTAATCTTGTCCCCCAGGATGCGAGCCACACCAGTTGACTAACACCCAGGTGAACAGGAAAAAATGCCTGGAACTAGTGCTCATATTGGTGAATTTAAGGTCAGCAAAGGTTGGTTTGAGAGATTTAAGAATTGTAGTGGCATACACAGTGTGATAAGGCCTGTTCTGGAAGAAAATGCCAAACAGGACCTACAGTACTCAGGAGGAAAAGGTACTCCCAGGACACAGTGTCTCATCACTCATCACTACATCTTCAATAAAGGTAAGTGTTATTTATTCTTCATTTAGTACACTAGTACATGCACAATATATATTGTGCATGTATCCTTCTTTCTGTGTGTAGGAAAATGTATATTTCACGTGGTAAAAAATTTTTTTTTTCATACTTTTGGGTGTCTTGAACGGATTAATTTGATTTCCATATTTCTCATGGGGAAAATTAATTCGACTTATGATAATTTCGTCTTACGATGTGCTCTCAGGAAAAGATTAATATCGTAAGTCAGAGGTCCACTGTACTAAAGATACAAGGAATGTTTCTGTATTTAGACAAATACTGTATTTCATAACTGACAGAGCCTGATCTTCCAAATCAACATCATTACTCCTTCCTAGGGAAGGGACAATACCAAAATTTTTGTTAGAACTGATACCAACACTCAATTTTAGGGTGATACCATCAAAATCAGGCAATACTGATACAATCAAAATCAGCAGATACCTACTAACATCACACACCCCTCATTATCACCATATTTTCCTTAGTATGGTGATAATGAGAATAATCTTTAAGGCAAAAATACCCAGGGTCTACTAAACTCCCAATGCCCTAGGAAAAAGTTTAGAGCCATCAAATTTTTGTTTAGTCAACTAAGTAAGAAAAGGAAACCAATAAATCAGACTTTACAAATTGTGTTGACCGTGTTGCAGTCAGCTCTAAAAAGCCCCATTGTATAGTGTAATTTTTTCTGTAAATATGGCACCCATGCGTAAATTGCAACCAGACCGCTGACTCTGGGCCTGAGTAATTCCATAAGTTTTCCATCAAATTTCATTTTTTTTTTTTGTGTCATTACTTTGAGAAAAAGGTTCTCTACCTTTTCAGAAGAAAATGTAATTTTTTCTCTTGAAAAATGATAACACTGTGAGCATTTTTAATTTAAGGTTCCTGACAGTGAAAGTTAATATTTCATCGAGTTTAACAGAGCATTACCTCTTCATCTACACGAGGCTGTAGTTTGGCTGCAACATCACTGAAGGAAAGAGCAGCAAGATGACCAAGTTGACCAATTATCAGTACAGGACATTTTCTTGGGTCAGAGGTGGTTAAGGACCCTCTAAACTGGATCCTCGTACCTGCCATCCTTTCTGTTGGTTCCACACCTGTAAAAATAGTTCAGAGCACTATCAATAGTTTATTAGATTTAAATCCTACTGACTATACGAGGGTCACTAAGTTTGCATTTCATCTATACACCAATATAATCCCTAAAAGATAGATCAAACTCACAATGTATTGTACACTGAAAGATACACACCTCTTGGTGTATACTATATACTGTATACATATACATGTATATCTGTATAAATGTAACGTATGGAAAAAAATGTAATTATCACACTGGGTGAAAAGGTTTATTAATAATGCAACTATAAACTTATTTTGAAAAATCTCTTTCTCAAACTAATAACCGGATGCTTACAAATTATATTTACTACCATCATAAATTATTAAAAAAAATAATTACATGTCTGTAGATGATTACTTTAATTTAATTGAAAGCTTTTCCTGGTCTTCTTCCCTTAGAGACTAAACTGTCTCAAAAACCTGTACTGCAACTAATGACAGGACACTTAAAATTTTACATATAGATATGAATATTTACTGCTACTTGGGGTGTGGCACAGTATGTGTCAGTTTAAACTGGTTAATTTTGATAGTATCAGTACATATCGCCCTACAACTGAGTATCAGTATCAGTGGGTATAGGCTGATTTTGATTGTACGTATTGGTATTAGCCTAAAACGGAGTACTGGCATTGGCAAAAAATTTCACATTGTCCCATGCTTTTCAATTATATTCACTTCTCTTATTTTCAGTGGTGATGTGCTCATCAGTGACTGAGCTGAATCAAGCATTTTTTATTTTCAATTTTGCATAATTTTTTTTTAGGCCTAGCACTATTGCACACTTAATAAATGATACTGTAAGCATGTTTTATGCTTTCATATACACTGGCAAGCGAAAAAAAAAAAAGGCTGAGATTCGCTTTACGGTGATCTGGACCCTAAACCTGCCGTATTAACGAGGTATGCCTGTACCTTATTCACATTATGAACCCCAAATGTTAATAACACAGGGTAACATAATCAATGCAATTAATATGGCGTAGTTCCAATGGGATCCTTTCTAAATCCTCCCCCAGGATGCAACCCACAAGATGATTAAAACTCAATAGTACGTATTTACTGCTAGGTAACGGGCATTGGTATTCTGAAACCGAACACTTGGCCTTACACTAAGCTGCATCAGCACTGAAATAAAGTTGAGTAAACTCTAGGTTTCATATCATAAGAAATACCAAAATTCAAATTCTGGTATGGTTGGATATGAGCCGAGCAGTGAAACCTCAATTTAGCAGACTAACAGGGAGGAAGGAGTGTCTGGTAATGCCAAGTGTTTGCCAAATCCGAATGAGAATGTTTTTCTATGATCATACATTAAAAAACAATTTTAAAAACAATGAACTTTGTCCGTTTTTGAAATCATTCCCGGGAAAAGGAAACAATGGACTCTGCCCTGCTTACGTTTGATGTTAATCTGAAACCCACTATACTGAGGTTTTTTCCTTATCACTGAGTTTAATGATATAATAAAAAAATACGTTCTTTATTTACTCAAGTACTTTTTAAATGAAAATAATTTAAAAAAATTTTGGAGTGAGTTAAAGAAGTTAGAAAGCCTAGAAAAACAAATGGATTTGTCTTTTAAAAACGGGTTTGGGGAGTTAGTAGAGGGGGGGAGATGGGGGTTTTGGAAAAATGGCGAAAATATTTTGAGGAATTTTTAAAAATGTCGACAAAAAAGAAAGGGGAAAAAGGGGTTTTAATTTCATGCACGGGGCGGGAGGTTACCATCTTTTAGGAGTGAAAAAAAACGGGAAAGTGAGTGGGGGGAAAGGTGCGTGGGGAATTTTTACAAATAAAAGGGGGAATTAAAGCACGGGAAAACTGGGGGATCATGACAGAAATGTTAAAAGCAGGGGGGGATTAGTGTTGGAGGGGTTTGGTATTTTTTTTAATAAATGCAGAAAGAGGGGAAGGGGTACCTGGGGATTGGGGGGAGAGAAATGTATAGTCCCTTTATAAAGGGAAAGGGGGAAAAAAAGAGATTGTATAAATTATAGGGGAAAAAAGTTTCTGGTCAGGGGCCCCCCGGTTAACGATTTTAACCCGTGCAAGAGGGCTCATCGTTTTTGCGAAATAAAGTTATGCGAATGAATTTTCCCCATAAGAAATAAAGGAAATCAAATTAATCCGTGAAAAACGCCCAAAAATATGAAAAAAATTTTTTTTTACCACAGAAAAGTTAATTTTAATACAACAAAATGAAAAAAGGCATGACAAATTAAATGACACTTATTTTATTGAGATCTGGGGATGATTGATGGGAGGGGGAGGGGGGGGAGGCAATTTCTTATGTTTAGAAGGGGAATCCCCTTCCATTACGACTTGAGGTAGCAAGCCCTTTTTCCCGGGTTACTTCCTTCTTCTTTTAATCCCACTGGGGCCCAGTTTGAGAGTCACTGACCTCGCGCACAACAAATCTGTCCATAGAGCTCTGTACCCCCCTTCCCCTTTTAGATTTGTCAAAAAGGGGCCACAACTTGTATTGAAATATCACCAGCACGGCTTGAACGCTGTGTCAGGGTGATTTTCATTTTAAAAAGGGTTTGCATTACCACTTCCACTTTCCTTAATTTTTGAAGTAGGCCAATGGATTCCAAAAAACTGGCATAGGCTTCTGGGGTTCCCCCCAAAAACCCTTAAAAAATCTTTTTTAAATTTCCCAACTAATTCTCACCCTTTTTACCCAGGGTTGGATAGAAGCTTTTTTGGGGGCCCTGGCCCCTTTTTTCCAAAACAGCACGAAAACACTGTTAATAAACGAAATTTCCGGGTGTATGCTTGGTTTACCGCGGAGGTGGCGGGTAAAACAATGGGACAGCCGGCACATGTGAGGCTGGTGAGGGCCATTGGCGCGTCTGGACGAAAATCGGAAAGGGGGGTTTTTTTTAATCGGTTGCGCGGCAAAAATTTTGCGATAAAAGTAATCGGTATGGGGAAAAAAATCGCTATGGATGCCATGTTTTTGCGGGGGTCCATTTAACCGGGAAAAGTGACGGTAGGGTTTAATTGAAAGAATTAGAGTTAAGCAGAAAGTAGGGGTTGCAGATGAGCAAAGGGGGTTTCAGAGTGGATGGGGATGTAACGTATTTTGAAAAGGAGGGGAAATTTTTTTTGATTTAGGATTTTGAAAAGGCATAGATAGAGTGGATAGGGGGGTGTGGGAGATGTTGAAAATACGTGGTCCCTCGAAAATCGTAGTTCCGAGTTTTAGATTTCGGAAATCATCATATTTTTCTTTTTAAACTGGGGTCGCTAATGTAGATTGACTCGCGAATGTGGCCCTCCGGGACAGTACGACAGTTGAGCCGGGGGGCCCCCCTACCCCGCCAGTCTTTACATTGTTTACCATGAGCAAGGGCCCCTCACTGCTCCTACAACATATTTCATTAGTATTCCCCTCATTTTATGCTTGCAAGTATGTACTAAAAAAAGCTACCATGGCTCCAAAGAAAGCTCCCCAGTGCCAACCTGTGGTAAAGAAGGTAAAAATACGACTGAATTTTAAGAAAAAATTTAAAAATATGAAATGGTTAAGTGCGGCAAAAGCCAGGTGTATAAAAAAACCCCACCCGACCATAGTTCCCCGTGGCCAGAAAAAAAGGGAAACAAGGACACTGTTGTTGCAAAGGGGGTAATTATGCTGACAAAATTGAGATCACCAGTACTCGAAGATGTTGAGAAGTTATTATTGGTGTGGATAAACGAGAAACAATTAGCAGGAGATAGTCTTATGACGTCGATTATTTGTGAAAAGGCTAGGCAGTTGCACGACGATCTGGTAAAGAAATTGCCTGCAAATAGTGGTGATGTGAGTGAATTTAAGGCCAGCAAAGGTTGGTTTGAGAGATTTAAGAACCGTACTGGCATACACAGTGTGGTAAGGCATGGTGAGGCTGCCAGTTCAGACCACAAAGCGGCTGAAAAATATGTGCATGAATTCAAGGAGTACATAGAGGCTGAAGGACTGAAACCTGAACAAGTGTTAAATTGTGACGAAACAGGCCTCTTTTGGAAGAAAATGCCAAAGAGGACCTACATTACACAGGAGGAAAAGACACTGCCAGGACACAAGCCTATGAAAGACAGGCTGACGCTCATGTTCTGTGCTAATGCTAGTGGGGATTTCTAAGTGAAGCCGTTACTAGTGTATCATTCTGAAAATCCAAGTGTTTTCAAGAAAAACAATGTTATGAAGACTAAATTGTGTGTGTTTTGGAAATCTAATAGTAAGGCATGGGTCACTAGGGAAATTTTCGTCGAGTGGTTCAATGAAGTGTTTGGCCCTAGTGTAAAGAAATACCTCCTGGAAAAGAAATTGGATCTCAAGTGCCTCCTAGCAATGGGCAATGCACCTGTTCATCCTCCAAACTTGGATGATCTAATTTTTCGAGGAGTTTGGGTTCATTCAAATTCAAAGTTTATTCTCTATAAGGATTACAATGCTGAGTTATTGTGTGGTTTACATGTAGTAAAATAATAATTACAGAGTGCACCACTAGAACACCTAGCATGGCTAGGCATTTTGGGTTAGACTTAGATTAAATCTTAAGTTTAAAATATTACAAAATTATGAGGTAAGTTGGTATTATGGCTAAGTGACTAAATGCTAGTTTGTGAGTTTAGCAATGTGAATGCTTTTGTTTTGGCACTATACCTAGTTTCAGTATTGGGGCATCACAGGCCAACTTATGACTAGTTAAGGTTCATTATTTTAAGATTGAGATTGATATTTCTGTTTATGGTCAAATGGGCGAGTGAAAGTGTGAACCACCAGGTGGTATTCATGTAACTAGTTGACAGGGTGTATCAGGGAGATAAGATGTTTTCTAACTGTAGTTTTGAAGGTGATGAATGTGTCTGCAGTTCTAGAGTTTTCAGGTAGGGTGTTCCAGATTTTAGGGCCTTTGACATACATTGAATTTTTGTAAAGGTTTAGTCGGACACGGGGAATGTCATAGAGATGTTTGTGTCT